TCAGGGGCAGAGACTGCTGTCAGGGCTGGCTGTCTCCAGTGCTGTCTGGCCAGAGTCTACCCCTTTAAGGGCCCGGGGCCGGGGAAGAGTAGAAGAGTTTTCCTGGTTGTGCCCAGAGAGGCCACCAGGGGGAACCTGGAGAGGGCTAGCCTCCCACTAGTTCGAATTAAGGGTCTACACAGCCCTTAATTCGAACTAGCTAGTTTGAACTAGGCTTAATCCTCGTAAAATGAGGTTTACCTAGTTCGAACTAAGCGCTCCGTTAGTTCGAATTAAGTTCGAACTAACGGAGCGCTAGTGTAGCGCCTAAGAAAGTTAGTTCGAACTAACGTCTGTTAGTTCGAACTAACTTTGCAGTGTAGACATACCCTCTGTTACATGATTAGAAATAAACTCTTGCAAGGAAAACAGCCCACAACGAAGGTCTCTATGGCTGGATGTGCTTGAATACATAATTTGATACTGTCAAACTGCTACTTACTCTGGACAGGCTGGGGTCGGAGTACATGGTGGGAGTGGGCTCTGATCCCCGCTTATCTGGTCCGATAAAGAATATTTAATGTTTGTGTATTCATGCCCTTTCCTCTTACTCTTCTGAAAAGAGTGAACACAAAAATTGAACAGGTTTAGAATTGCCAATAACAACAGAAATCTACATTTGTGGAAAGTAATAAATTAGCTAAACCTACTTTTTCCAGAAAAGAGGGGTTTGATTTTATGTAAAAGTTAAAGCATGAAAGATCTCACTTCTGTAACTATAACATGCAGTCTGGCTATTCCTAGAGGTAGAGGTTACCTTTGACTATTACAGAACACTTGGTCCCAGTCCATCCACACCCCAATCTCAAACAAGAGGTGTCAACTTCGTGAATTTATCCAAAGCTGGCCAAAACATCCACCCTTCATTGTACACTAGACAACGTCAGCCAGTGAGTTTAAAAGGTCAAATACAAGTGCAAACCCCACTCTAACAACACACCTTGGAAAAATTTTGGTGTGCTCAGACCAGCTGCACCAATGAGCCTATCAATACTATGACCAGTGATCTCTGCAGCTGTGTGCTTGTACAGCTGCTCAGGAGAGGTTCCAGTGCTGCCCAGCTGATTAGCAGAGCACTCACAGCTAGGTTTTGTTTCTACTGGTGGTGCACATTCACACATGCCTTGGTGCACATAATAAACTTTATTCTGCACATGGATGGAAAAGACTGGAGGGAACATTGCCTATGACAGATTTTCAAAGCCTGTTAGGAGACTTGGGGGTTGGAAAAAACAACATACACATAGCGATGCCAACTTAATACCCAGTGTACACAGCACTAGACCAATGGGAGAATTCTTCCATAAGCCTAGCTACCACCTTTGAGTGGTTTAACCAGAGTGATGGCAGAACCCCTCCCATTGCTGTAGTGAGCATCTACACTGATGTGCTTCAATATAGCATTTTAAGGAAAGACGTAGCCTTGGATTCCTAATTCCCTTTAAGGCAATTTTGAAAATCTCAGCCTCTATTGCAGCTGCCACTAGAAATGTGATGTTCTCTATCACTTCTGCCTCCCATCTTCTCCTGACCAATCACTTTGCATGGACCACTAATCAACACCAATTAGTTTGTTGCTGTAACTTTTCAAAAATCAGATTTAAGGGGAATAAAGGTTCAGACCCAGCCCCAATTTTAGAATCTGAGATGCACACAATCTCATCTAGACACAGTTAGTAAAGGTCAATTTTATTCAGCCTTAAATTGTATTTTAAATGTTTTTAAATATGTGATAAATGCCAATTCAACCAGCATGGTTATTTTAAGTGTCAAAGCAGCAGAAAAGCAGAATAAAAGTCATCTTTGTTCCTTGATCTGACTAAATTAGAGAAAACAAACCATGAAGATGTACATCGAAGGCCTTTCTTCCTCTGATTTTTTTAATTTGTTATAATTATTCCTACTAGTCAGTGTAATTATTCCTACCACATTTCCATTACTCCTAATTAGGAATAATTACTCATTAGCGAAGCGGACAGGGGACTGCAGACAGGGGAGTTAAAGAGGGAGAGCAAAGCGACCCCACCGCCGAAGAGGCTACCCGGTGAGAGGACAAGCTGTGGTGTGAGTGTGTGTGTGCCTGACTGTTTGAATTTTACAGTTTGAAGTGTG